TCCTGGTAGAAATTGAAGAAAGAATATTTGGAAATTTGGGACTTCAATGAGTAAGTGAATAACATTTCATTTAATTATTCATTAATAGTCTTTTACTATATTTTTTTATGAATTATTTTAGTCTTAGATTTTATGGAATAATGATGAAAGATAATCAAATTATGAGATATGCATTTATTTTTCCTCAAGAAATATACTTTCAAGATTGATGAAGGCATTCTTGTTTATTACACTCTGTATCTCTTGGTTATTTAATTAATGCAAGATCGTATATTAGCTATAAAATTTTATTTTGGCAAGTTTTGAAACTTAAAACTATTCATGAAAATTTAATTTTGAGAATAAAAATTATGTTTTTAAAGTGGTGATTTTCTTACATATTTGAAAATGATTTTGGAGAGGACTCTAACCAAAACACTGCTACTAACGGTAGTTCTGTTAGCCCATAGCTTACTGTGGTTAATAACTAGCTAGTTTGTCTCATGAGCCTTGTCCTCAAGTTTGTTATTCATGGGTATCATACATTTTCTTAATTTTGGCGGCTATGGGCCGCGTTTGGTTAGCTTTATCCTTGTGAACTGTGTGTCTACATTTATTTTTGTAGCTTAAGTTGCATTTTGTTACTTACCCTCGTGAATTGTGTATCGACATTTATTTTCATGGCATAAGTCGTGTTTAGTTATTTATCCTCATGGACTGTATATCCATGTTTGTTACTTGTTATGTTAAGTTCTCAAAAATTTGAATTTTGATTAACTTGCTCATTCGAAATTTCAATAGTTTCAATAAACAAGTGTACCATTTTGATTTGTGTACAAGTAATTTGTTTTCTTTAACCATGATATAATAAAGTATTTTCAATTCACTCTCATTATATGGTTATGATTATGATTTACAAATTTACAAAGTTATTATGTTGAATTATCATCTTTTCAATTATTTTATACAATTATTTGAGTTTATTATTTTAATTCTTTTAAATTCTGTTTGGGGTGCTATTCACTAAAAAATTTATTTTAGCCTCAAATTCATTAATTGACGCTGATTCTATCGTCGACCTCTAAAGGGAAATATGGTTATACTAGGTGGAAATTTTTTCGTGGTATTGTTACCTTTTGATATAAATATTTTAACACTCATGTATTTTAAATTTAGAAGAAAGGTTAGTCACTCCATATAGATTGTTGTTAGGATATTATTTTGATTTTATACTGTTTGGTAGCGGAAAGGAGCTAAGCTCCTAATTGATATTATATTTTATGAAAATTTTTATGTTGTAGAATTTTTAAGAGATTCTATTTATAGGGAAGGTTCTGGCAAAATTTCTTCAAAAAACGTTTAAGATTTGCTATGACAATTAGTATTAAAAGTGTTAGAAATTCCATATAACCTGACTAGAGGTAAAAAGGACCTTTAACCTATATAAAAATTATACCCCTCAAGTTAAATCAAACCATCTAAAAAATGCTGGAGTTTGAATTAAATTGCAAAATAATAATAACTAAATAAATTTAAATAATATCTCAAACAAAACTAAAAGTCAAAGATATAATTGTCAATCCTACTAGTGACTAAACATCTTAAATGATACAGTAAATAATTGTTTTTAATAAGAAGCTGATATTTATGAATATGGCCGGTTTATGAATAGTTGGGTGCACTGTTAAAAGTGTAGATGTGTTGCAAGAGACAGTGAATGTAAGAGAAGAGCTATTGTATCAAGGAGATGAAACCAAAAACACTCCCCTTCACTATGCAGCAGACAAAGGTTACGAGGAAGTTGCGCATAGAGTGTTAGAAAATTCTACCTTGATTGCTTTCATCGAATCTCATATGGCAACCTTCCAATTCATCTTGCTAGCAAAATAAGCCATGTTAATATGGTCAAGAACTTGCTTGACAAAGCCTTTGATTGTGTAACTTGTCTAAACGGTGAAGGACAAAACTCCACATTGCAGCAATGAATGGACGACACAAGATGATAGAATACCTATAGAGAAAGCTTCATTGGAAAGCTGTCAATGAGAGAGACTTAAAAGGAGATACCCCATTGCATTTGGCTTCAAAGAAACTCCATCTTTTGAGTCTACTCAAATTACTATAAGGCCAACACATCAATGTGAAACTTGTGAATAACCAAGGTTTAACAATTCGAGATGTTGTACATGTTCTAAGGGAGATTAGTCGTGAGGTAAGAATGATCAGTACTTATAAATTATTATCTCTTCCTTCTTATGATGAATATTTTTTAAGGTTTTGATTCTATCTAGACACTTGTTTTTAAGGTTTTGATTCTATCTAGACATGGCAAGGCAGATTTTAAAACGGGCCGGTGTCCCACTAGAGGCAAAATTGTTGGGTGTACGACCCGTAGTATCCAAAGATGAAGGAAGCTGTCAACACACTCATGCTTGTGGGTATATTGAAAATTGAAATATTCCACTTGCTTTTAGAATTTGTAGAAGGGTGCTTTCGAAATTGTGTATCAAATATTGTAAAAAAAAAAAAAAAATTGGAGAATGACTTACATGAAAGACCAAGGAAATCTTGTAAAATGTGACTGACGAATAGGACAAGAGGGAATACTTGGGCCTGTTTGGTTTCTATTTTCATTTTTTATTTTTAAAAGCTATTTTGTAATACAGTTTTGAAATTTTTTTTTGAAATAAAATAAAATAAAAATTCATTTAGTTATATCAATTAAAAAAAAGTTTTAGAATTATAAAATGGACTGATAGTGATGATTATAAACAATTAATGATAGTAATTAATAATAAAATTTGATTAAAATAAATATAATTTTCAATAATCCAATGTAATGTATTTTAAAAACAAGAAAAATAAAATGAAAATAACCTAAAGTTGTTTGTATTTTTTAGTTTTTAAAAAAATTGAAAAAAAAAGTTAAAAACAACTAAATAAAAAACCCTTATCCAAACAAATTTTAATTTTTTTTATTTTTCAAAACGAAAAGCAATTTTTAAAAATAGAAAACAAGCATGCCCCTTACTTCTTGCAAGTTTGTGAAGCCTTAGAATTAAATCTTCCTCTTCAATGGAAATGATGCAGTCCGAAGCCATTTGTGGGGTTAATTAATATTAATTTTAGAAGCTGTGACTCACCGTTTTGTTGTCTTTCCCCGTCACTTCATTTGCCTATCCGTGCTCCACTTGCCTCCATATGTAAGACCCATAAATGGCATCCGATACCATCTTACATTTTTCATAGGTTTTTAATTTAATATATATCGTCATCTTTATGATCAGGATTAATCCGAACACCTTTTGATAGTTTAAACTTCCTTCCTTTCATTCATTCATTTTTTTTAAATTCAATTGGAAATATTGAAATTTTGAAACTTTAGGATTTAAATCCTCTAGATACTCTATCTCAAAGCATCTCTCTATATCCAATCTTATCTGTTCATTTAATTATTGTTTTGGTTTAATGGTGTGAAATTGTTAATTATGATATTAAAATAATTATTTATCATAATTTAATATATTTTGGTATTTCATTTGCCCAAATATGATCTTTCTACCGTTTCTGCAACTCACAAGTTTGCCTCTTCCTTTGGGTTTTTCTATTTTATTATTATTATTATTTTTTCCTTCTTCAACTCATCCTCCAGCACGTCTTGTCTTTTCTCTTCCCTTTTCTCCCCGTGATTTTTTGTTTTCTTCGTTTGTATCAGCTTGATTTGGTTCTTTCCCTATTTATAAATTATCCACACAATATAAAAATATGAAAAATTTTTGCAGCAAATATCTTTCTTATCCTATAATCAAGTCAAAAGAGGAAAATATATAAAAATTAGTTAAATAAGTATAAAATATTAATAAATTCTATCAAAATAATCCAAAATTTATACCTATCTGCCTATAAAAAAAAGTAAAAATATGTGCTTATCACGTTAATTCTCATAATTTTCTTCTGAGACTAAATTGTTACTCTTCCATGTAATCGAGGTATATTTTCTTTCGGCAGACTTCAGTCATAACAAAAATTAATCATAGGCTTCCACATCACTTTGAATGGAGAATGAATATATATATATATATATATTCATTCTTATATTATACGGGAACTACTGATACTTTGGTGTTTAGTCCCTTGAGACAATGTCTTTTTTATATTTACTACTATATGATACACTATATTAACATTTTTTTTATTTGTAGTTTCCGCACGGTGGTGTTCCTTGAATGAAGTTGCGTTTTTTGCTTTTTATTTTTTTTCTCTGTTGTGTCTGAGCTATTTTCTTTTGTTGCTATCTTCTTGTTTCCATCTTGTCCCAGCTGGTCCGTCATTGTCAGAAGTTTAATAATTTTTTTTTTTTTGCCAGAAGTTGATGGTAATTACTTGAGGAACAAGTAAGGAAATGACTCTGATTAGACAGAGCAAAGTGCCCGACCAAAGGCAAAAGTTATTGGCTGATTATAAAGATAAAAGCAGGCATTATAAATATATGAAGGACAAAGGACGATAAACACTTTCTAATTAATTGCATTCGTTCCATACACTAACCTAGCTGTCTATTCATTTTAACCCCTCATCATTGGACAAACACTACTACGAAAAAGGGCTACCATTTAATCATACCCATTTTTTCCTAAACACTACTACACTAACCTAGCTGTCTATTGTAATTAATTAGCATCTATTGTTCATATTAATTTATTCTTAAACATAAAATATAACCACTTTATGAAATCATAAAACCATTTAATCATACCTTTTTTTTTTTATTGTGCATGCTTGCGATTAAAATTTAGTCCAATAGTCCTGCATGCGTCTTTTTCTCCGATTTCATTTTCATTTCTTCCATTTCCTCAGCTTTAAAACTCTCTTGTTCCTGATGAGTTGTTTTCATCTCTTTCAAGCTTATTTCTTCTCTTGCTACTCTTCTGATTGCACATCCTGTTTCGCATTTTTTCTGCAAGAAAGTCCGATCAGGTGGAAATTCCCATGGAGGCTAATAATTCAAACTGGAAGGGACCATGCTACAGAAGATTGCAGGAAAGAAATGGTTCATTTCATCAATCAATCATGTTCAAATTGGCGTTAACGATGACACCATGAATTATCAACTGTACAACGCCGTCCATGATGAGCATGAAGATGTAAATAAATTTCTAGACATGTTGGATAGAGTATGTAGAGAAAAACAACTTGATTGTTCCACGGTCCTACATCAAGCCACTCCCAAAGGTGATTCGTTACGTCATGTTGCAGCTGAACATGGGAGAACAAGGATCACAGAGTTGCTTGTTGATAATAATTTTTTTGCGGATTGTGACACATGTAAGGAAAGACACAGAACTTCATGTTGCTGCAAAAGCTATTGGAGTGATGAGAGTCATCTCATCCAAATTTGACGATGCTAGCAGTAAGGATAACTTAATGATGTTACCCAATAAGTCTGGGAATAGAGCTCTGCACGAAGCTATTCTGAGCAAACATCGTGAGGGGTTTGATTTCCTTCTAAGTGAGCAAAGTGAAAGTACTTGGCCACTCTATTGGGACACCCACCAAGGGCGGAGCTACGCTGGTCTGAGGGTATCTAAAAACTCCATGAATATTTTAATTTGATTTACACTATGACCCTCCTCATGCCTTGGCATGCCCAGCGGATTGAAGAACAGAGAGAGGAGCAACGTGGGTGTGTGAGTGACATGCTGAGATTTGGTTAGAAATTTAATTAGAATAGGCATTTCAGTCAAGCGGCGGCCCCAAAAACAAAATATAAAAGTATAAAACAGCAATAATATTTTTTATTTTATATATTGAAAAGATGTTGAGAGATAGAAACCTGTGTTGTTCTTATGCGTGTGGATATGTTTTTAAATGCTTGATTGTGACGTTATACTTTCTAATTAATTAAACATGATTTAGGATTAATGGTTTTTAAAATTTTTTATATTTGAATTTGAATAGAAAATAAAATAACTTGTTAAAAGAACATTAATATCAAGATCATGTACATACTTATTTTAAACTACAAGCAAATGCTTGAGATTTTCTCAACCTTTAGTAAGTAATAATAATTATGTAAGGCTTGTAAATCAAATTTTCTACAATATTAATTTATAAAATGTTCGATAAAAATGAAGGTATGTAATTTATTTAATTTCATACATATATTCTTTCACATAATTTAAATATATTTACAATATATTAATTTTTAATAGTTTTAATATTTACAAAAATTATAATCAAAAGCCAGACAGACTTCTGGTTATTTTTGCTAAAAGGATTAAATATTTGTTCATTATATGTATATATTTCTAACCATATAAAAAAGTCAATATGTTCTCTTAATTGTATAAGTTCTTTATAATATTGTTGTTTTATATTTTCTAATTCTATTTCGTTAAAATTTTTAAAATACCAGTTTCTTTTTTCTTTATTTTTGGGGACATAAAAATTTCTCTTAAAATATCTTTATTGAGTTCAAAATCTAATTTTCTAATTACCATTAAAGAATGATATTTTGTTGAAGGTTTAAATTCTTTTTCTATTTGTGATTGTGTTTCTAATTCTATATTTTGATCTGTATCATCAGAATGTTTTCTTGATGTTTCAGCTACAAATATTGGTGTAGGTATATTTGGTGTAAAATCTACTCCTTTTAATTTATAGCTTATGTTTGAATCTAATGATCTAGGGGTATCAATATTTTCAATTATTGGGATAGGTTTACTTATCTCATATTTACATCTCCTTCATCATTGGTTTTTATTTCTTTTAATTTTCCTTGTTCAATTGGAAGTGGTTTATTTAGTCTTGGAAATATCCATTTTTCAGGGATTTTTATATCACTATGTTTTATTTTCTTTGGGATAACGACCAATGTTTTTGATGGGTCTCCTAACTCTATCAACATAGTTTCTCCTTTTGGACTTTCTTTTTTAGCTTTGAAATTTTGATGAGTTTTCTGTATCCTAAACATAATTCTATACTGTACAACCATATATGTTGTTCCTTTAGCCCAAGTTCCTTGACTTCCTATTTCCATTACTAATGTTTCTTTACAGTTATGATCTTTAATCTCGTTACATAATTTGGAAAACAATCAAAATATATAGGTCCTTCAAAAAGGTTGATTGTATTATTCCTATAATGGATTTTTGGAAATCTTTTTCTTGTCTCCTGTCTCTTAAACATATAAATATAGGTTCGTCTAATCCTAATCGAAAATTAGGTTTAATAGCAACTTGTATCATACCTATATGCAACCAAGTATATTTTTCTTTAAATTTCTTTATGGTTTCATCAGGAATCATATAAATATATTGTCTATCTTTATTTATTCCTATTTCTTTTTCTACTGTTTGGGTAACATATGAAAAATCAAAAGTTGTTACTTTATAAATTTCTTTTTCTTTAAAAGTCGGCATTGACCAGTTGGTCAATAATTCCTGTATCATTTCGAAGTGATCTCAGAATCTCCAGAAATTTGACTATTACTTATTTCTTCAATCAATGTAAACTATAGTAAATTTTGTATAGGGATTGAAAATATCATTCATTAGTTTTTAAATGCTTGATATGTGACGTTATACTTTCTAATTAATTAAACATGATTAGGATTAATGGTTTTTTAAATTTTTTATATTTTGAATTTGAATAGAAAATAAAATAACTTGTTAAAAGAACATTAATATCAAGATCATGTACATACTTATTTTAAACTACAAGCAAATGCTTGAGATTTTCTCAACCTTTAGTAAGTAATAATAATTATGTAAGGCTTGTAAATCAAATTTTCTTACAATATTAATTTATAAAATGTTCGATAAAAATGAAGGTATGTAATTTATTTAATTCATACATATATTTCTTTCACATAATTTAAATATATTTTACAAATATATTATTTTTAATAGTTTTAATATTAATATGTATAACTATACATGATTATATGCATAACCTTTCTTTAAAAATTAAATAAAAAAAAAACTCGCCTCTGCTAACTCTGACTCTAGCTCTGCTATTATGACACCCACCCAGCAGACTCACCAATATATGTGGCAGTCCAAAGTGGGGATGTTGAAATTCTTCATCGTCTCTTGCAGATTCCGTTTCCCTCAGACCGGGACATTTATAAGAGTCAGGGAAACTCTCCACTTTTTGCCGCCATATCAGAATGCAATATTGGTATGTATATGTGTGAGATGCCAAAGTAAATTGATCAATGTGTTGTTTTTTCTGGTTGTCATGCAATTTTTTTTTTTTTTATATATTAAGTATGTTTGAAGATTTTCTTTTTCACCTAAATAGTTCAAATCATGAGTAGACATATTACAAATTTTATATATTTATAATTAATTTTAGAATTACTAAGATATGAGATTTCTTTCTTTAATACTCCCTCAACTATTTTGTATGGGTTTATACTTTTTTTTTTAGCTTTTTGAGAGTCTTATGTTCATAATTTTTTATTTCTTTCTCTCCTTTTTATTCTCTTGCTTTTCTTTGATCTCATCATTCGTTTTATTTTTTTCTTTTTTTGCTTGTTTTTTCCTCTTTGTCTTTTGTCCTTTTTTCTTCTTTCTCTGTATCCAAAGTCAAATGGCTTTAATATCATGTCAAATGCTTTATATCAAGTATATATGTTTAATAAGTACTTATTTCATCAGAATAGTTTAAACTACTTGATTAAAACCTATTTCAAGTTTTATATATTTTTAGTTACTCTTTAATTACTTGATGTGTGTGTGTGTGTTTTTTTTATATAACCCACTTTTAATTATATGTGAAATATGTCTGCTTTTATGTATTGTAGATTTTTTGAAGGAGATGGCAAACAATAAAGAATAGTTGATGTTCCTCACAGATGAAAATGAAAACACACCCTTCGTTATGCAGCATTCATTGGTTACGTGGAAGGTGGTCGTGAACTTTTAAACAAATCCACCCTTGTCGCCTTTCAATGAAACCATCGAAGTAATATATGATAAATAATAAATAATAGTATTATTAAGATTAGATGGAGGGTTCATAAGTAATATATCATAATAGTATTATATTAAGATGTTATAATTTTAAAAATAAATATTTAAATTTTTTTTTCATTATATGTATGTAGGTATATAGCCTTCACTGGAAGTACATATATTTATATATATATATATATATTCCATTGGTTCTTTTAATATTGACGCTCTGTTTATAGGTATACTAAATAAGATAGTTTATATATCTTTGGATTCTCTTTCATAATAATATTTTCTTTTCATCAAATTTATTGTACTTCTTACGTAATGTCTGTGAAATATACCTAGAAACTTATCACCATCTCACAGAGTGATACCCAACAATTGGAAAACTGGAACACCTGAAAATATTCTGGTTAATACCCGCTAGTTAAACTGATCAGGAATATAAAAATTAGAATAAAAATAAGAACCAACATGGATAATATCTCTTTTCATGACAAAGGAGACTGCATATTAGTACATATATTCCAAACATACATTTCAGCTGTCAAATGAGATCCAATGATCTCTGGAATGTATTCATTCTTATAGTAATCCAATGTCCAAACATTCTCCCTTCTTGGTCTCTCACTCCATTCTGCTGCTTTCTGCAATGTTATCTGACTGGTCCCAAGCAAATTGACACCTTCATGCTCTATATCTGCGCATTCCAAATTTAATTCCTGAGTGAAGCATACTCTTACCACAAAAGGGAATGCTTCATGTGTTATTTCTTTTTGTTGTGTTATTCGTGCTAGTAAATAAGCATCTTATATTTGATAATTCCTTTTGCAGGCTTTTCAGGGAAAAGAAGAAAACTTTTGACCTTAATACATGGTCCATATTCCATATGTTAACCTCCTATATCAAATACTAAGTTTGATCATTTTTCTCTTTTCACTAGCACTAATGATTTAGCCTCAACTTAATCTTATCTTCATTATTCAATCCAAATTTCAGATTTTAGCTCTTATTATAAGTTTCTCCATCTCAAAGAGCTAATATGTGTGCTCATCTATATATATATATATATAATTTAGGGAGAATTTCAGTAGAGAACTAGGAATGTAACATAATAAGGCCCGTTAAAATCTAAAATTTCAGTTCAGTCCAAAGTTCTAAAATAAAATAATTTAAATGATGAAAAGACTGAAATAGCATCTGTTTAAACATTAAAAAAATAATGATTAGATTTACATATAATGTTGGGGAATTAACAATTGAAATTGAGAAATTAAAAACTAAAATTACTTTATAAATTCGGATAAATTGATTGAACAAGTTTTCTCATTTTCTCAAGGATTAATAAGTTAAGTAAAGTAATTTACTAGTGATGTTGGGGAATTAACAAGTCGTAACATTAACAATTGATGTTGTTTCATAAGTTAAAATAAATTGATTGAATAAATCAAGGATTGTCAAGTAAAGTAAAGTAATTTATAAGTGATGTTGGAAATCAACAAGTAAAGTTGAGAAATTACCAATTGATTGAACAAGTAATTTATGAACAACTTGGTTGTTAATTTTTTTAATTTTAATTGTTAATTTCTCAGCATACATGTAAATTTGACCACTATT